TATGTGTCTTTATAGTAGAATGATTTGTTACCCTTTTGGTATATACCCAATAATGGGATTGCTGGGTCAACTGGTATTCCTGGTTCTAGATCCTTGAGGAATTGTCACACTGTCTTCTATAATGGTTGAACCAATGGACACAGGAAGGGGAACATCACACACCGGGTCCTGTTTCCTAATGCTAGGGGAGGGACAGTATTAGGAAAAATACCTAACGTAGATGACAGGTTGATGGGTGCAGCAAACCACCATGGCATGTGTATACCTATATAACAAACTTGTATGTTATACACATGTATCTCAGAACTTAAGGTATAATAATAATTTAAAAAAAAACATATTAGCCCTGGGCCAGTCGTGTTGACGCACAGTAACTCCTACTCTAATTCTATACACATTTCATACAATTTGTCCCAAATGATGCAAAGTATATTTAATCAGCTTGCATCCTGCAAATGATCAGTGTGGTGAGATGGAGCATATGAAGTACTAAGCAGTGTCTGACATACAGGAATCATTCAGTATATGGCAGCAATTATTATAAATATTTATGGTAATATATTTTAGTAATAGCCATAAGGGAGCTTAATGAACATTTGTCTAAGTGTCAGCCAACCCTTATTAACCCATTATTTACTTTGAAAGATGAAGTTGAAACATCAGTCCAAAACAAGGCAAAACATAATTCAGTTCATATGCTCTTATCTTAATAGATAACAGACATCATTGACCTTTCAAAGAAAAATATTAATAAACATTAACATTTAAAAATTAAAACTATCATTAATTATAGCTTACAATATTCTTTTTTGTTATTTTATTCTTAGAATATACATAGAAATTATGTAGACACTGTTTTATCCTTATTGAACAGAACTGTTTCATGTATTTAGCATTTCTGGCAAGTAATTGAGTGTTAGTGGCTGATGCATAGTTAAATAAACAGACATAGTTACCGCTTCTCCACGAAAACAAGTTTAGATATCATTGGCATTCCCATTCAGTGGTATTCCTCACCTTACAGAGGTGAAATAAGAGATAGAAAGCAGAGAGTACTGAGAAAATGCAAAAGTCTCTATTGGCTTCAAGTGCTAATCTAGGTAGTATATATGCATCTACATGGAATTTTTGTACTTTAAGGAAAACAAATTAGTACAGTGATGACATAATCAATCAATTTTAGCTTGATCTTTATTTCCCTTTTAATTTTTTATATTCTCTAGTTGATACATGTTCATATCTACCCTGGAATGTGCTAACAATGAAAAAACAAAGTTAAAAGAAATACGAGATTCAATAAAGTACAATCATGTTCATGAATGCTATTACGATAAATGCTTAGCTTGTCCAGGCCAGAAAGAATTCAGCTTCCGAATTCAATGGCACTCTCGAATATGTTAACTTAGTTCTAAATGAAATGCATTATTTTTACAAAGTTCTATTTCATATTTAGCATAGTGAAGACTGTTCATTCCAATACGTATGCACTGCAGAGAATGCATTTGTGTTGCTCAGTGTGCTTAATGGTAATAGCGTAATAAAGAAACACAAAGACTAAGAGAGATCAAATGAAAACCAAAGTCACAAATCCTACAGGCAATGACATTAAGGCTAGAATTTAAGTTTTAAGATTTTGTTATTTGTGTCCTTTTATGGTTAAACTGCAAGAAGAAAGTCTTTTTGAGATAGCAAAAATAATATTTGTGGGAAGGAGATAGCAATAATATCCATTCATGCAACTAACTAGGTATATGTGAGTGGGTAGGCACATGAGGCCAACGGGCACTGAGAAACATGTCTGTCAGGTTCTTTCTGTTTTGTTAGCTATTGAGTCAACCTGACTGAAACAAAGACATATTTCACAAGAGTGAAAATTGGTTTCAGTCAATCCTTTTAGCATTTTCCAGGTGACTACATTTTTATAAATCGCCTGACAAAGTCAAGCAGTTACATCGCTTCACAGACTTTGGCTGGAACATTAAAGGAACTGAACGATTTATGGAGGAGAAGATCAAATAGGTTGTGTTGTATCTAAATGCTTGTTCCATGAACCAAAAGCTGAAAGTGAATTGGCAAATTAATGATTTTTCATTTTCTTCTGGGATTTCGTGATCTGGAATGCCTTTTGTTGAAGGGACACATTTCACCCCTCTTCACGATGCATCTTTAAAAAATGCCTCACTGTCCTGCAAATCTCCCAAGTCAGCTCTCAGTTTCTTCTCTCACCTGCTGCAATATTTATTTTTTCATGCCACACTATTACATGGTTTTATTTTGTTTGTATTTTTCTCCAGTTGTTTCATGAGTGCCTGTGAAACACATGAGTTCATATAATTCCCAACTGGATTATATAGTAAGGACTTCTTTTGTACTTCTCATACTGTAGGAAGATAATACCTATTGGCTATTGCATGGTGAATTTTCAGTGTAAGAATTAGTTCAATACATGTTCTTCAGTTGTGATGACAATATGTAAAGAATATTTTAAAGTCCTTTTCCATCGTTTAGGAAGGCAGCTTTTCTGTATTTCATTGAAATACAAACTACTTTGACTTACTTTCAGCTCTAAACTTTGTTCTCCCTGCTAATGAAATGCATTTCTATCATGCATGAGATACACACTCTTTATTAAGATTTAGAACCCTCCAAAACGTTAATGGTTGCTCAGTAGAAGTGCCATACCTAAGGTTTAATATCATGCCTATCATTTACACGTTTTTCATTCTTCTTGCTCCTGAAGTACCGGGATTCCCATTTAAGTACTTCTGTCTGAGCTTGGGTAAAAGGTGACTCCAAGTGTAAGGTGAGCCGGAGAAGAATATTTTTCACCTTTTTCCCTGATCTCATCTTTTTTATACAGCATTCCCTCTAAAGAGAATTTTACTCACAGATTTAGAGAGGGACTCTGTGCTCTTTTACTGTGTCACTTTTGGAAACTAAAACCCACTGGGTTTTTTGAGAATTAGGAATCATTACACTGTGCAGAGTTTGGGCTTCTGACACGTTTCCAGTTTTTCAATTGAGCACTCCTTTTACTGGATCACTGGAATAAAATCATGATTATTCAAAATGTCATAATATACAATTCTCATATTATAACAACTTATGAAGATCTTTGCCTAAACCTAAGTTCTCAAATCAATTTCAGTTGAGTGCAAATTAAGCAAAAATAAATTTTAAAATGCATCTTGCCTCTTAAAATATTTCCTTGCCAGAGTTGTTCAAACTTATGCAGAAAAACCATATTTAAATAAAGACAAAGGGCTATCACTTGCTCTCATTTTCATTATATTCAGGAGATGACCACTTTAATTTTAAGTACGAAGACTTAACAATACTCATGATTTCCAACATGAATTACAGTACTTAAGACTTTGTCTTCTCATGACATCATGCTTATTCTTTCATTTTATACAAAAACTCTGGGGAATAACTTAAGAGGAAATCTAAAATCAGAGGGAAAAAGCACTGGAATTCCTGAAATTGCTATAGATAAAACCCTTTAAGGCTTAGGATTAAGTGTTTGAAAATATCAGGAGCATTTAAAATATGTTCATGCTCAGCTTTCTGTTCACTTGCTAACTACCTGCAGCATGAAAAGTCTGGGGTTGAATGGCATGAGAGCATTACTGTTTCATTTTTATAATCCAAGCTTAATTTTTAATACATCATTTAATTTTATTTTAATTTAGGTTTTTTTTTTTGGGGGGGGATTGGAGGGAGGGCACTACTTTGTTTCTGAATAAATAACAAAAATCCTTAACTGCCAGTGACTATATGAACATGATGTGAACAATATCGGCAAAGAAACTAGGGAAGAGGTTTTGTTTTAGAAAACCATATGCTCATATTCTACATATTCTGAATTATCCTCATAGAAAACACAACATACAATATCTCAAAATGTTACTGCAACACTGCTCATTAGTTTGCAGGTTGGAAATACGGCACGTTAAATCCTTTCCTCTCAACCGTAGTAAGTAAAGACACTGATATAACATAGTTTGCAAGTCTTAGCTCTGCTCTGCAAACTTACTGCTATCATAGGTCTTCTGCATAAGGATTTCTAGTGCCCGGTTCCGAGTTCAGTGCTTAAAAATGCTACCGATCCCTGGGTTGGAACAAAGCTTTCGGAAGCAATTAACTGCTTTTGCCATCCCAGGTGCCAAACACACACACAATGTCCTTTTATTTGTGGAACTACACACAGATCTATTCTGCATGTGCTCAGAGCTCAACACAAATATCACCCCTTTCCCACAGGCAGCAGGAAGGATGTGGTTTGAAGGACACAGTTGCTTCATCTGAATGTTCAGTTGTTCAAAAGATCTCTTGTTGCTACGCCAAGTCGCGGCTCTACTACTTAGGTTTAAGAAGATATAACCAGGCCATGCCCGAAATCCCACTTTTATCTATTTAAAACAGGCATTCAAGTAGATCATGCAATTCTTCTTTGCCCCTTACCTTCGGTAGACACATGCTGAAAGTGTGTTCATAATCAAAAGACATTCCCGTGAGCTGATGACCCAGTAATTCCTTACGTATACAGGTCAGCTGCGACAATACAGTACTAAAATCGCCAGATGAAATGGTCAGAATTACCCGGTGGCTTGATAAAATCAGCTTACTTTGAGTCTAATCCAAGGATAAATATACAGAAAGCTCCAAGCAGTGGAAACTGTAAACACTGTAGAACTACCCCCTGAAACTGTAATACTGCCAGGAAAACAAATATTTGCTGAATTATAGGGTGCTATCTTGGTTTTACCTGAATGCAGATGAGGACTAAATAACTATAAGCTACTGTTTAAAGTGGAAAAGTGTAACACAAGTTCAGGGCACTAATTCTGCCACCACCACTACCACCACTCCCCATAAACCCTAATGATACACTCGGAACAAGCAAACCAGTAGATCTGATTATGCATTTCACAAATACCGCAATCCTGGAGCTCACTCATCTCGTCATTTCAGGACACTCAGACTCTAACTAGGAACACCTAATTCATAGCGCTGGATTTTGCTAAGTTTTCCCTCTACCCTTGAGTCCCCTTTTAACCTTCAGAGTGTTATTCTACAGAGGATCTCTCCCTTTTTGGAGTCTAGCATCTTGCATCTTCCTGGAGCCCCAACCAAACTCATAACCTCTAAGCTTCTAAGAAATATGTAAGTTTTTCAACTTTGGACAGTAAGTCTTTTTTCGTGACTTAGACTTATCTTAGAAAAAGATGTGTTGTTAGTTACCAATTGCTTCTTCAGTCTTGCATACAATGTCTATTCCTCTTTATGACTCCCTGCACAGTTACTAGCTCAGGAGAATCTGTAATTTAAGAAGAGAGCTTCGGCAGCAGGGTAGTTAAATTGCTCTTAGTGGTTACTTCTGAATGATTTCAAGTTGATTCTTTCCTTGTTTTTTCTCCAGCCACTTCTCATTTCTACTAATCAGTTTCACTATGCATGATCTACGACACTCCTTAGAACTATGCAAGCAGGGCTTCAAGAAGAAGAAGAATGGAAATTTGATGAAACTATTTTATTGGTAACACTCAGATAGAAATACCACCTCTGAGAAACTATACACAACTCCACGTACCTAGTGGAATATTACTCCTGATCCAGAGTATTATATAAACATCAGCATTTCCTTCTTCAGTTAGAAACAAATAGCTCTTGATGAAACGTCGGTGCCCTGGTCTTTCAGAAGTCTGTATCTGACTCTAAGATGCCAGGAAAATTTCACCTTGTGTCATGTTTCACGCTGAGGGCTTTGTATAGTGCTAGTGTAAACCTTGGTCTCTAAGACACATTCCACGGTGAATTTATTTCAGATTCCAAACTGAGTTTATTCCATTTCACTCACTTAAAATTCCAGTTGTGATTGGAAAATATATACTTCATTTACCTTCTGCGCAGTGTTCAATGAACCGCTTGTCATGTTTCACCCTAGTAGGCTGCATTTCAATCCTGAGTGGGTCTGTCTATCAGTTGATTAAAGCTTTGCTATTATTTGTAAGGGATGTTATAACATTCGCTGTCATCTTTCTTGGCAATTTCTGATACCGTAACGTGAAGATTCTGGCAAAATAATATGGTAGTTGCTACTCTTTCCTTACACCTATACCATTTACATGTCAGCAAACAACATCATGTTTTCAAGGAAGCAGACAAATAGAAAACTCAAATTCCCTGTCCTATTGTTATGCCACTCTCTATAAGCTGACATGGCATAAAATGACATAGCTTGATAAACTGCTGGAGGAAAACACAGATTACTGCCGTTTAGCTAGAGTAGGACACGTCACTTGAGGACATGGCCTTAAGGAATGTCAATTCTAGAGGAGGAAGGATAGAATCGAAATGAGAGATCTGGTTCTTTGTTGTGTGTGGCTGAATTTCCTGGACACTGTTTAAGGCAGAAATGACAGGTAGCATAAAAGGATAAACCATACCTTAACAGCACAAATGATATAAGCACCCCCTCCCGCCCCAATCCAAAATTTTTGCCACACTATGACTTTACCACATAGGTGATTGCTTAAACCTGAAGAAATGTTAACTCCAATCCCTAACCAATGAAAACAACCAAAAACCACATTAGTCATTATTTACCAATGTAACAACAATAAATCATGTGTGTATGTGTGTGTGTGTGTGTGTGTGTGTGTGTGTGTGTGTGTTTTCTTTCTTGAGTTCTGTATCAGGATTTTATAATGCTTGAGAGAGTTGACTGTTAAGAACCATGTTTAAATTTTATTCCAAAGAAATGGTCCCCACTCCTCTCCGTGATATCGTAAAAGTCCAGCATGGCTCTTGTTATCAACACCATCTATTCTATGCTTTCCTGGTACCAACATAATTAAGTCAACAAAACTGGTTACTTTCAAGGTCAGTAACTATCCAAAGCTATTTCCTCAGCCTGGGTACAGTTTTAATATGCCTATAAGCCTTATTCAGGACCTCAATCTTTTGCAGTTGAGACATGAATCCAAGAATACCGTATGAGAAGCTCACAATTCAACTCGGATCTTACATTTGAACTTTTTCTTTTTTGGAAGATGTACTCATGGTAACTTTATTCATGCAAAAAATAAAACTGGAAGTGATTGAGAACACTTGTTTTTCTGGCATTGAGAACATTTCAATTATTGTCCCTTAGTATGTCATCTCATAACTATCTTCCGGAACATGTATTCTTCAGATATGCCATATGGATGGTTAAGGTCAAAATAAACCATTAATAACAAGCCAAACCACCAAACACACATACAAATACACCAAATGAATCCTCCTGCACATTCTCATTTTTTCAGAGAGCTACATCCCTGCTCCACCTGAGCTAAGTTGGGTCTCCAGCCTTCAGCTATGGATATATATATATATTTTTTGAGACGGAGTTTCGCTCTTGTTACCCAGGCTGGAGTGCAATGGCGCGATCTCGGTTCACTGCAACCTCCGCCTCCTGGGTTCAGGCAATTCTCCTGCCTCAGCCTCCTGAGTAGCTGGGATTACAGACACGCGTCACCATGCCCAGCTAATTTTTTGTATTTTTAGTAGAGACGGGGTTTCACCATGTTGACCAGGTTGGTCTCGATCTCTCGACCTCGTGATCCACCCGCCTCGGCCTCCCAAAGTGCTGGGATTACAGATATTTTTAAAGTTTAGCTTCCTCTCCTTTCCTTTCTTCTCCCTTCCCCTCTTCTTCTTCTTTTTTAAAAAATCCTCACTATTTTAGGACCTACTGGTTAGCTTTCTTCATTATCAAATTAAAAATATTATTTATTCACTCTCTTGCAAAAAATAAACAACAATTCTTTTGAGATTCATACTGTTTAGCTGTAAACATCATTTCTCCCTGTGAGTGGCTGGAGTCCCCATGAAGCCTCCTACATTTAACAAAGGCTTTGGCACATGACTTAAAGTCTTAATATCGAACCCAAGATCCTGGATGATGTCAATGCCCTTTGCAAGAATCATCCAGCACCTGCCTTATGGTTCCCTGCTATTCACTGCAGTAGTCTCTATTAACCTCCACTCTGCTTCAGCTAGTCACATTCATGGCCCCACCAAACTCGGCCACCTCTATACTCGTTCACTGTGTGAAGCTCTTCTCTAAATAGCACCATCCATCTTTTCAGCTCTCGCGGCTTCTTCTTTCCACTGCATCTGTTCTACCACCTCATTCAGATCTCAAATCTCTGAAAAGCAGCACTTTCCCTACTTGCAAAAGCTCCGCTTGACTCTACTTTCTTCTCTATTCAACCTAGACATCACAGCCTACCACTTCAAACATCCTCCTGTCAGTACCCACTTGCCACTTGAATTCTTAACATCCCTCCACGTTTTCCTCCAAAATTTCAACCCAAAATGAAGCAATTATTTTTTGTCTGTTTTCATATCCCTGGGTTGCTACATTCTGGGTAGTTCCATGTGACTCTGCAGAATGGTACTGGTACAAAGCCCTGGTCTTCAGCATCACTGGGGCTTCAACACTGTCCAAATTTCCTTCCACATCTTTCCTTTCAAGCTTTAACTGTTTCTTCCAATCCAACATTATGTACCAACTGCCACTTCCTCACTCACGGTCAAGCTCTCCTGTCCTAATTGATAGGTAAAATAGCCCATGAAGTGAGAATCCATTCAATTTCCTTTCCTTTCTATGAATTGATTCCAATTCAACTCTTTGCCACTCAACTCATTAGAAGAGATACCTTTTCTCTTATCCAACACTAATCATTCCACCTTTACTCAGGATCCTACCTTCTTCCCTCTTTGTCTGTTTTATCAGCAGTCCCACTTCTTACACAAACCTTCAACCTCTCCCATCCCATTGGTTTCTACGCGGTGGTGCACTGGAGCTTAAAGCTGATTCTAGGTATCTTCTCAAATCTGCATTCAGTAAGTTATTCTGAATGCCTTCTGCATTCTGCCTTGATAGGTTTACTCCAGTCTTGGTGGGTGTATTGATGAATGGTCATCTGCAACAGCTACAAATCAGAGCTTGTATTTCTCCCTTGGAGGCCCGGTTTATCAGAACACCACTGCATCCAAGCCTTCTCAAAACAAAACAAACAAAATCACTGACAAAAATCCTTGCACATAGCCTATTTCCTCTTCTAGTTACAGTGCCCTCTGTCCTTTCATGTTCTAGCTACTTAAAATACGTAGTGTGTACCCAACCATTTGCTCTTAACCAATCTAAATATGCCTTTAATTCTTAACAGTTCTTCATTGAAGTTGCTATTTCCAAGGTAATCAGTAACCTCACAGTTGATAAACGTAATGGATACTTTTCGGTTTTCACTGACTTAATCTGTGGAATTTGGTATTGTTAGCCACTCCCTTCGTATAAGTCACTCTTGCCCTGACTTCAGGACATCACCATCCCTAAACTCCCTTTTTACCTCTTTGGTATTTTCTTTTCAGGGTCCTTTTCATTTGCTCATCTTTTAACAAGTTCTTCCCTAGTGGTCTTTCTCAGCTTAAACTACCGGCAAAATCTTCAGCCCATGCAAAGCCATCTCTCTCTCTCATGTCTCTTTCACGTGTTGTAGTTATCACTGTACAGCCGTCCACTTAGGTCATTCAAGACATCAGGCACCTCGGACCCCAAACTCACCAAATTCTGTATCCTCACCTACTCTGGTTCTCCCGCTCCTCTGTCTATTCTTCACAGCTGAGTTGAGCTAGTATTTTCTGGGTCCAATTCTGATTGCATCACCCCTGGCTTAAAGCACTTGAATTTTTTCCCTACCCCTTGAGCTACTTCCACAGCCTCATTTTCCACAAGGCTTTCCCTTCCTGCTGTGTTGCTTGCGCAAATTCTGTCCCTTCTGTCTCCTCCGCATCCCGTGCCTGTGCTCCCTTCTACCGCAGGCCCTTGGCACAAGCTGTCTTCTGCCTCTGCTCATCCCGTCTCACCCGAGTAACTCTGATTTGTCTTTCAGGTCTCAGCTTCATTGGATCTTCCACAAAGAAACCTTTCCTGAGCATTCTTGACCAGCTCGAATTCCACTGTCAGGAGCTCTCAGAGCACCCTACACTGCCACCTCCTCTCTGAACCATTATGAGTCCCGTGCAGCATCGGAAAAGCAGCTTTTCCTTTGCAAAATGACTAATACCTGTTTCTCTCTTTAGATGATGAGCTCCATGAGGGTCAAGGTTGTCCGCTCTTGGTCACCATTGCATACCCAGGAGCTCACGGCATGCTGGCGGTGCTAGTTCTGTGAACATTTATTGAATCAATGAATGAAGATCCTGGAAATTTCTAGAAGTTCTTCAGATGAGAAAACTAATAGAAGGCTGGGTCTCTCACAGGCAAGCAAAAAGCAATTTTAAGTCCACGAACTTAGTAAGGCCTTAAGAGACACGTCTAATTTTGTAAGCATTGCTGGTTAGGCATACACAGATGAGTTACCCGAATGATATGAAAGAAATCTGCTGTATTAACATCATGTCTAGTTTACAGGACAGGGCTTAAAACCTCGAAGAGCCATATGCATTTCTCTTGGCTTATGTTTTGTGCCTCCTCCATAAAACAATTTAATAGAACATCATTCTTTATACTTAAATAAGGTGACTACATAATTTATCAACCAGACTAAGGCATGCTTGTTAGTAAAAGAGAGTAATTGTAATTGTGCCACAGCAACAGAGGTTAACTGCAGAGGTCTCCAGCAACCTGGGACAAGTGGTCACCCCAGCTGTGGTTGACATAACAGAATGAAGTTGGTAAACACAAAATTCTCTGTCCATGCAGAACGGTGACAGATGCTATGGAATAACTAAGCCCAATATAGAGGAAGGCTTCTCATAATGTGATGTTGCTATTTGTGCAAATTGTGGAATAACAAATGCACCTTCAATAATGCAGCATACAGAATAAAATTATAATTGCATTAATCATTCTACATTTTATTTGGAGCTTATTCTGTTTATTATTTCAGTTTCTGCCCCCAAACACACCTATTTTAATTCCTCTAAAAGCCTTTGTTGAGCACAGTGGTGATGTGAAGGAAGAACAAGATATCAACCGTCCCTAGAAAATCGATAGTATCACTATAGGGCAAATAGTATCATCCAGAATTATAGATGAAGAAACTGACACCCAGAACAAAGCAATGACTTTTGGCTAAGGGTATGCAGATAAAAAACTGTATATCTGGAGCTGTAGTTCAGATCTCCGACTTCCAGTTCAGAGTTCACTTTATTTTGCTCAGCTGCCTCCCGACAATGGAGTTAATACACGTAATGTACTTCATGCACCTGTCTCCTACTGCACAGAAACGCCCATGAAGTGCGTTCACACAATCTTTGCAGAAGCGGATTGCGCCGGGCTCAGCGGGCAGTGTTTGTGTTGCCTGTGTGGACTTCCTTTTTAGGCACTGGTTTCTGGCCCCGTGACAAAGATTTGAAGGGGATTTAAAAGGCCAAGCACATTTCTGATTAACTTGTCTCTGTATCATACCTATGTTTAAATCCTGGATAAATTAAAAGGCCAAAAATATGTCTTTTTACTTTATGGTCAAATTCCACTGCAGAGGAGTAATGAAATAGTCCAGATATGGCCAGGGGATAACCCTGGGGGTAACAGACCATCCCTACTACAGAAAATGTGGGTATTTGTCCATGATGAGACGTTTTACCTTTTCACTGAAGAGGAACCCTCATTTATTAGTGCTTTGGGGTTTACAAAATGCAGTCTTTACCAAAGAGATTTATCACTCTTGTGAGATTTCTAAGGGAAATAGCTTTTGAGACTGCAATTCAAGTATTCGAGGAAACATGGCATTCTGCTTCTATTCTTTTAAATGCTGGCAACAGACACTTGTTAAAATGGAAAGTATTTTCCATAGTCAGAAATACCCCAACTTACAAAGACCTCTGTTTTTTCATTCATTCCAACTGCATAGTTCTATTAGCATAAGGTCCTGACAATAAAACTAAAAGGAAATTTTTTTTTCATTTTCCATTTTCAAAAAAAATTTTCACTTATTTAATAGAAATACTTCCTAAGTAAGAGATGACTTTCAGATAATCTTTTTTCTTCTTCTGACCTGAAGAGAATTCTGTAAAGGACAAAAGCAAAATCAAAATAGCTCACAAATCAACTAAGTCATTCAAACACAACCAAGGATAACTAAAATAGAAGACTCCTAAAGTTACCTGCAATCGATCACGGACCAAGACAACTGGGACAATTATAGTCAATAAAATTATCTTTTAAACATCTACAAAATTATTGATCCTATGCTCACGACAAAGATGGATATGATGTATAATTGAGATTAAAACAAAAAAAAAACTTTTCTTTTTGGGTAGTCTGAGAGCTCATTTTAAAGGGAGAGTTTTCTTTGTTGGGAATATTTCTGAATGGGTTTACCAGGGGCAAAGGCTGAAACCAAAAGGCACCTAAGCCTGGCATCTGCTCTGGGGAGGATCTAGCTACAGCAAGAGGGGAATAAAGCTGGGTGTGGAGTTCCAGAACAGCTTGGGCAATAGAGTGAGACTTCATCTCTACAATTTTATTTTGTTTGTCTTAAAGTTAGCAGAGCATGGTGATGGATGCCTGCAGTCCTAGCTACTCAGGAGGCTGAAGGGGAGAATCCCTTGGGCCCAGGAGTTTGAGGCTGCAGTGAGTTATAATGACACCCCTATTCTTTAGTCTGGGCAACAGAGTGAGACTCTGTCATAAGAGAGAGAGAGAGAGAGAGAGAGAGAGAGAGAGAGAGAGAGAGAGAAATGGGGATGTGAGGATGGAGAAAGACAGGGAGTGTGGCAGTGGACTAAAGTTTTATTTAGTGGAAAAACAATCTGTTGTTTTGTTATCCTCTCCTCAGAACCCCTCAAGTCCTCTAGAACTTGATAAGCCTATTAATGATTTATCAATAATAATAATTTATCATTTCTTACTATTTAATATTAATATCATGTGTTATTACTTAATAATTAAGGATTTGTTAAATCATTGGGCTGATGAATGGAATGGGAGTCTGGGTGGCTCAGCACTATTGAACCCCATAGAAAGAGGAGTCAACTCTGAATAATGCTAAAGATTGTGGGGAGAACCCTGGACTCAAAGGACGCAAAATTGGAGAGGAGTCAGGAAAGTTTACCCTATCTCAGAGGAGCCAGAAAATTCCAATTTGTCATTGGGGTTACAGACACAATTCATGCGTGACCCCAAAACCTTACAGTGTGGTGGAGGAAACAGATGGGCAAACAACACACAACAGATGTGTGTTATTCTAAGTAATCTCATCTGTGCCATGGAAGCTGTACCCGTACAACGTCAAGGGGCTCAGAAGAAGGTCCCAGTTTCCTACCTGGTAACTCAGGGAGGTATCACAGGGAGGTGGCATTTTTGCTCGGTCTTGCAGGACGAGTTAGGGTGGTCAAGTTGTTTAGAAAACTCAGAACAGTATTATTTCAATTTCCAAAACTGAAGCAAAAACAACAACAACAACAACAACAAAAAACTGGAACAGAAGGAGATGGGCTTTTCTTGGTGAAAGGTATGACACTAACAAAGTCAGTCTGGGACACGGCAGGTTGTCGGGGTGTGGTGAGAGGTACCACGGTACATGGCGGAAGAGTGATCAACTAAAGCCAAATTTATTAAGGCCTTAAATGCTCTACGTATTTTCTTTATGCTTAGAAAGAAGCAACTTCACAAGAACTGAGATAAAAGAAAAAATTTTAAATTACTTTATCTAAACTTGGCATTCAATATAGTTACTAAATTCTCTGGTTGATACCTGGTTAAATGACTAAATGATACTCAGTAAACCATTCTAATTTAAGTGCTTAGCTGAAACATGCATGTGAAGTGAACCACAGACCGCCTCCTCATCTCTTCATCTCCTCCTACTTATACGTCACATACACAAACCCCTAGGATATCTATCTCCACAGTTTTAACAATCATAATGATTTGCAATGCTGTCTCTCATCATTTAGGTTGTCAGGTGTTCTTGCATTACCTGCCTGCTTATAGATATGGAATTAATAAGATTATACAAAATGTCTGCCCAACTTTGATCAGAGAATTTTGCAATTTCCTGATCAACTGCAAGACTGATCTTCCATAACATGGATGTAGTTATATATAAACTGCCTCATAGGTTAAAGAACTCTCAAAAACCTGTTCCTGACAATAGTTTGCTATTCGACATGTCAAACTGCCGTTTGACATGAAGCATCATTGTACCATGAGATGTTACTAAAGGGAACTCTGCAGTCCTCTTCCATCTCTGCCAAATGAAGAAGGACACTGATTGTGACACTTCTAATGGCAATTTCATCTTGCCAATATTGACCTTAAAAGCTAGTTAATGTTGTCGGACTTGCCATGGGATTCCAGAAACAAACCACTGTGAATCGAACAACTAAATTTCCAATTTCCAAAAGCAGCTAGTGACAACAGATTAAAGGAATTTATAACCCCCTTTCAGCAGTTAATATCTATACAAAGGAATTCATTCCTTCATTTTTTTCTCAACATATAGGGAACCCTTCTACATAGGCAGCACTGTCCTAGCTGGAGACGTGAGGGTGAAGTAGATAAAGTCACTGATTCAGAGGAACTTTATTCTACTGGGGAACACAGACTGGCAGCTAAATTTATTTTTTTTTTTTTGAGATGGAGTCTCACTGTCACCCAGGCTGGAGTGCAGTGGCATGACCTTGGCTTACTGCAACCTCTGCCTCCCGGGTTCAAGTGATTCTCCTGCCTCAGCCTCCTGGGTAGCTGGGACTACGGGCATGTACCACTATGCCCGGCTAATGCTTTGTGTTTTCAGTAGAAATGGGGTTTCACCATGTTGGCCAGGATGGTCTTGAACTCCTGACCTAGTGATGCGTCCGTCTCGGCCTCCCAGAGTGCTGGGATGACAGGCATGAACCACCACACCCGGCCTTGTGGCAGCTAAATTTATAAGGTAATATTGGCTGCTTTACTGAAAAAAATGAAGTAGAATATGTGGGTAAAAAGAGTGATTGTCAAGAGTAGGACTATTTTAGATATGATGGTCAGTAAAATCTGACATTAGAATTAAGAGCCCTGCTCACCAGGAGGCAATCTAAAAAAGTATTCCAGACAAAATAACCTAGAGACCAAAGACCTGGGGTGGCAAACAGGCTTCAAGTGCTCAAGAAACTGCAAGAAATGTCGATGTGACTGGCCTGGGTTTCAGTCTGAAAACTTTGAGTGCTAAATACAGAACAGAGTTGCAGAAAAATAAAAAGCAAGAGAAAGCATTATGTGTTTAAAGATATGCAATAAATACATAGAAACAGATAGAAAACAGTATGGTTTAGGGAGCATAATTTTGGGGTAACATATATTTTATTATTTTTCCTAATTGGGGAGGGGGTGGAAGACAATATTGTCACCAAAACGAAAGCTTTCACCCTCTAAACACGTCAAACAATTCAGCAGTGGATAATCACATTTACTTGAGTTAAAAAGTAAATTGAGATCTTAAGGAGAATTAATTAGTTCATTCTGAATCGTGGTTACCGAGAGTAAGAAGAGAAAGAGTTAAATGTGACACTTCTATTTCATCCGCTAAGAAGTCAGCAGAGAGTACCACGGAACCTACAGACGCCAAACACCGAAAAAATAAACAATTTAAAACCAGAAGGAACAAACTGAGAATTTAATCTGCACTTACTGAGGACTTATTATGTGCTAGGCATTATTCAGAGAACCAGGAATAGAACAGTAATCTTGGCAAAAAATTGTCCCTTTCTGGATGGGGCTTATATTTTCAGGTGGTTAAGCCCTGAAATGCTGAGATGAATGCTGGTCAACAGTGGTGTGGAGAAAAGTAAAGGAGGCGTGTGGTTTAGAGAATACCAAGGGTAGAAGTGGTGTGATGTTCTTTTCGATTGGATAGTTAGGAAATCCTCTCCAAAAAGAAAGGCTGGGAAGCCACTGGAGGGTGTTGAGTGGAGAGTGAATTTTAGAATAGCACCCCAGCTGCTGTGCAAAGGACAGGCGGAAGGGGTCAATGGTAAAACAGGAAGGGCAATTGGAAGTCTCCTGCAATCATCTGAGTAAGAGCTAATGCAAGCTTGGATCAGCACAAATGGTGAGAATTTCTTAAATCCTAGATACAGTTGATGAGTGTTGATGAATGAATCCAACTGGGAGCATGAAAGAGGAGCAGATTCAAGGACGGCTCCAGGGTTTTGGCCTGAACCACCCTAAGCTTGTTGCTATCATTTAGCAAGAGGAGGGAAGATCACACATATATAGTTTAGTCTAAAAGATAAAGTGTTATTCCATAGACTCAACTATCCTCAGGACACATCCTGTCCCATGTTGCAGAATTAGCACATTCAGTTACTGCCATTACCTGCCTGTGAGTAGTTAAATGATTTTTTTTCTTCATGAAATATTCCAGAGTAGTTATTTACCAAGTTAGAGACCGATTGAAGAAAGAGTTAAAATAGTATTCATAAATGAATTTAATCTGTATCATAGTCTAAAAGATTGTTTCAAGGCCAAGGCCCAATACTCTTCTATATTACATTATCTCAAGGTATGTTTATTTTCAATCCATGCTTAAGTTTAGCTACAGAGTCAGGGATAAAGTAGGATAAGCGAAGGTATTTAATTATTGTTTTCTTTTCCAGATCCTCCACAGAATAATCGCTGACAAACTCTCTTGCCCAGAAAATGTCTATTGGAATTATGGAGTACAAAAAACTACAAAAGCAATGAAAAAAAAAAAAGAAGAAGAATGTTTTATTTACATCCTATTTCAAAACGAATGCTTTCGTGCTATTGTGTATCTCTGCAGGCCCAATATCGTGTATCTGCATAAAAAGTTTAGAATTGTTCCTTATAACAAACACTGGCATATTCACTTGAAAGTGTAGATTTCATTCACTTCCAGAACAGTTAGCTCATAATTCGGAACATTGAGGTTTGCAAAATGACTGAAGGAAACTTTACCCAAACAACAGTTACTAGTTCTGCTGAGAATTATCACAGGCCCACAACAGCCGTGTGTTTTCCATACAGAAATTCTGATTTAATTTTTATTATCCAGCTAATATTTTTAGAATCATGAATAAAATAGCAAGTCAGTCTGTGCATAAGCATATGTTTAAGTCTATGGGGAGAAATGTCTGGAATCCTTTTGGTTATTAAAATTAGAATTCAGAATAATGAAAAGCATATGCAACTGATTGTATTCTTTCTACAGCTTATTTCATCTAATCCTCCAAACAGCTGTATGACGTATTTATCCCCACCTTGCATAGCATGTTAACCAAAGTTTGTAAGGTTAGTTCATTTGTCCATAGTTACCCAGAAAATCGTACGTGGAGCTCAGTATGAGGCTGCCTGCCAGACTCCAAAGTCTCTGTTCCTTCTATTACCATACGTTGCCTTTGCTTTTCTTATAAAAGTTGGAAAAATATCATTTTGCCTTTCCTATTTTTCTTAAAACTATTTATGACAATAAATCCAGTTTTCTGTATGTAGCTGTTTAGAACTTCAATGCGTGTAGCATCAGCCAAGCGCATTTGTGCATGCCTGTGCATGCCTCTGTGTGTGTGTGTGTGTGTACATGCATATGTGTGTGGGAACGCAGGCCTGTGCATGCCTCTGTGTGTGTGTGTGTGTGTGTGTGTGTGTGTACATGCACGTGTGTGGGAACGCAGGGCTGTGCATGCCTCTGTGTGTGTGTGTGTACATGCACATGTGTGTGGGAATGCATGCCTCTGCATGCCTCTGTGTGTGTGTGTGTGTGAACATATGTGAGGGGTGCATGCCTGTGTATGCCTCTGTGTGTATGTACACACACACACGTGGGGATGCACACCTGTGTATGTCTCTGTGTGTGTGTATGCTCATGCCCACGTGTGTGGGCGCATGCCTGTGCATGCCTATGTGTGTGGGTGTACATATACATGTGGGGGGATGCATGCTTGTGCATGCCTCTGTGTATGTACATGCACACGTGTGTGGGGGTGCATGCCTGTGTGTGTGTGTGTACATGCATATGTGTGTGTGGGTGCATGCCTGTGTGTGCCTCTGTGTGCATGTGCATGCATACGTGTGTGGGGGTGCATGCCTATGTATGCCTCCACATATGTGATATGCACATATACACGTGTGGGGGAGTGAGAGGGCACAGTGCTGAGAAGGAACAAAATTTTTTTCTAGATGTTAAGTTTCGAGAATTTGGTGACATGGAGACAGCCAATCCAACCTGGGAGACAGTGTTGGAAAACAGGGCTTCAGCTACTTGCATGATGTGGGGTGGGAAACTGGTCTGTCTTCCTAGCCACGGAATGTCTCTGTTGTGTTCAGAAGCCTTTCCATCTCTTGGATTTTAAAGGAAAGTATCCTTTCTGTCAGTAAAATTTTCTTTCAATCTCTTTTAAATCATTTACAAATAATCTTCCAGGTAATAACATAATTATAAATTATATTACAATTTGTATTTATAATTCATGTTTTATTGCATATTCATGATATGTAACATATATCATTTGTATTTCCTATAATTTACATATTTATCATGATTTATAATTTGCACATAATTATACCATATAAATATAACTTAAATAATTCAATAATTAAAAAATTAAAACAGGCCGGGCACGGTGGCTCAAGTCTGTAATCCCAGTACTTTGGGAGGCCAAGGCGGGCGGATCACGAGGTCAAGAGATCGAGACCATCCTGGCCAACATGGTGAAACCCCATCTCTACTAAAAATACAAAAATTAGCCGGGTGTGGTAGGCCTGCGCCTGTAGTCCCAGCTACTTGGGAGGCTGAGGCAGGAGAATTGCTTGAACCCAGGAGGCGGAGGTTGCAGTGAGCTGAGATTGTGCCACTGCACTCCAGCCTGGCACCTGGTGACAAAGTGAGACTCTGTCTCAAAAAACAAAACAAAAAAAAATTAAAACAACCTAAATAAATAATAACCATCCTTCTTGACATCCAAGCTCCTCATCAGACTTATATATTTAATTCTTACTTCTCTTTTATTTTCAATCTCATCTACCTTTGTCATTTATTTTATAACTTTACATCTCAGTCATATATAAAAGCTTACTTAGTATTCCAAGGTAATTTTATCACCTTGTACATAGTGGCCATGGAGCTCCTATTGCCTAGAATAATGTCTCTATTATTTTAAATATCGAGGCTACTTTACACACACACACACACACACACACACACACACACACACACAAATGCATATATATATACACACATGTACTATGTATGTATATATATGTGTCTATGTTTATATATAGTGACTCTATCCACCAGCCTAAATATCATTTTCTCTTCTTTGTATCCTCATATGGGTTAATTTTTCCTTCTCTGCCCCGACTCCCTGCCAATAAAAAGATAAGTTGAAGTACTAATCTCCACTACCTCTCAGAATGTTAACTCCCACTACCTTTAAAAAAGACCCTATAAAGACAGGGTCTTTATAGAGGTAAATACCTTAAAATGAGGCCATGAGAGTGGCCTGAATCCGATACCACTGGTGTTCTCATAAGAAGGGGATATTTGAATACAGAGATGTAGGAAGAACACCACATGCAGATGAAGGCAGAGAGATTCATCTAGAAGCCAAGGCACTCCAATGATTGCCAGCAGCCACCAGAAGCCAGGAGGCAGACATGGAACACATTCTCCCTCACAGCTGACAGGAGGAGCCAACCCTGCCTCCAGAATTGTAAAATACTAAGCTTCTTTTGTTTAGGCCTTCCAGTCTCTACTGCTCTGTTACAACAACTCTAGCAAATTAAGGCACAAATGGCAGAATGGTGTTTTTCAACTTTTGTGAGAAAAGTAGAGGCAGTTACAGTAGAAGAGGGCATTGTGAGTGTACTGTGGTCAGATAGGGCTATTTTCTTTTCCTCAACTATGTTCCATATTTTTTTCTTTTCATACTTAATTTTTTTGAGTATGGGTCTTGCTCTGCTGCCCAGGCTGGAGTGCGGTGTCATGATCGTAGCTCACTTCGACTTTGACCTTCTGAGCTCCAGTGATCCTCCCGCCTCAGCCTCCTTTGTAGCTGAGACTACAAGTGCATGCCAACACACTCAACTATTTATTTATTTTTATTTTATTGTAGAGACCGGGTTTCACTGTGTTGCCCAGGCTTGTCTTGAACCCCTGGCCTTAAGTCATCCTCCTGCCTTGGCCTTCCGAAGTGCTGGGACTACGGGCCTGAACCCATTGCACCCAGACGTTTTATACTTCTTTAATTTGGAGTGTCCTTTCTTTTCAAGCATGCCTATAGAATTTCTGATGATCATTTAGCCCAAAGAAGACTTTCACATAAATTCTGCCATAACCCTAGTTGGAATAAATGTATTCCTCTAAGCTCCCTCGAGCTCTAGTTGTATCTTTATTATAAATATTAATATATCTTTCCTTGCATTGCTGTTACGTGTATACACATCTTATCTTCTGGCGATAAATAAGCCTTGTCCCTTGAGGGAAGGGCTAACCTTTCCTCCTTCTGGTACTGCTCATGATGCTGACCACAGCACCCTGGGCAGAGAGGAGATTTAATATGTATTTTTTTACTTGAATTGCATAAGTGGGACCTACCTACTGGGGAAAAAGGCTGCTGTGATCTGTGTTCCTCCTTCTGTGACAAGAAACTAAAACATACATGTATTTAATTCTCTTCTTAATGTTCTTCCAGGTTTTATCTTCTTCCTGGATCTGGTTCACCAAATTCCCCATCCCCCTACCCAATTTTTTTTTCAGCAATACAAAACTTCAAGCCACTGCCTTGCCAAAAATTCTCTCCTCATTAATTTATCAGTTAAATAAAGAAATAATTCCACACACATGTATCATTTCCATGGTCAGCTCTTCATCACTGCTTTATTCCACACCTCTCAATGGGTGTATGATGTGGGCGCACTTTAACACTGCTGTATATGTGGTTGATTCCTCCATGCAGATCTTTCTGCTCTTTTTGCCTGAATTATCTTCAGTGTCCTTTGTGCAAAAATCACAGCCAGTATAGACTACTTCCAAAAGAACTACATTTCAGACACTTTCCCAAACACTATTTCTTTAAAATGTACCACGCTGGATAAAGTCTCTTTGCAACATGCACAAAACGGCCAAAGGATATGTATTACTTTCTCCAAGAACTACTTCTACAAAGTTGTTTCATTTTTTTCAGTTGAAATGTCAAAGCCGACACAAAAACGAGATGTTCCTGCATGAATTAATAAACAAATAAATCTGTATTTCCCATTGCCCTTTCATTCAGTGTGTTTTTTGATTAATCTTTGGTTGAAGTTTCTGGTTACATGTCTGTTTCCTCCGTTATATTTTATTCCTCAGGAATAGAATTTACCTTCTATTTGCTTTTATGTCTCCAAAACCTGACAGAGTGGGTGTTCAATTAGCTTTAGTGATATCAGTAATTTGCCTATGAAAACAATTCTGAATAGGAGTGAATCAAACACAAACTTCAAGTAGATTCGGCAGTTCTTACAGGATGGCATTATCACTTTAATGGTATTTCTCAACTTGTGTTACAATTTGATTAAACAATTTTTACCCTAAAGCTTTGAGAGCAGGTTATCTCAGAATTGTATAATTTGATTTTAATGCTTATGTTAGAGGGTATATGTCTTGGGAAAGGAGAACAGAAAATAACAGATTGCTAGGTGACAGTCATCAACCATTGCCTTTATGAATTTCTTGATTTGTATGGTAGTAATTTCTCATGCTTCTCCTCAAAACAAAATAAAATCAAATAATAGCATTAATCTTTTATGTTTTCTTTTACATGGCAACTCCCAAATGTGACAGAACCTGGAATTGACTCATATTTTGCATTTTTGTCCATAGACACAGCAATAGTGAAAACTGAATCACCCAGCTCAGAGGATTTCAGTGTGTGGGGACATGCAATCTCTGGACAACTTAGGACTTCGTTACCCAAGGAACAAGAAACTGATGTGAACTTGCAAGAGAATTGACAAAAAAGAATCACTTCATAACTAAAACACCAAAAGGAATGGTAATGAAAGCCAAAATTGACAAATGGGATCTAATTAAACTAAAGAGCTTCTGCACAGCAAAAGAAACTGTCATCAGAGTGAACAGGTAACCTACAGAATGGGAGAACATTTTTGCAATATGTCCATGTGACAAAGGGCTGCTATCCAGAATCTACAAGGAATTTAAACAAATTTACAAGAAAAAAAAAACAAAACATCAAAAAGTGGGTAAAGGATGTAAACAGACACTTCTCAAAA